AAAAAATTGACTTTTCATTCAGCCATGAACTTCTGATTTCATAATTAGACTGATATGAAATGTCTTTAAAAAATCACATAAAATTTTACCGTCAAAACCCCAGCCGGGTTTACGTCAATCATATAACAGAGACCTTTGAAAGCACTCTCCTTCTCATCATTATCGCGAATGTTCCTCAGTGCGAGACACCAGGCACGTATAAATTGTTGCAAATACGGAGACACTTCAACTGCACAGTGTAAACCCAGTCTACCAAGTGTTATTGCTTAAAATGTCAAAACTTTGAGTAAGACCTCAGTAATCCTAACGTCGCCTTATATGATCAGCAAGAAAATTAAATTACCAGTATTTTCAAGAAGTGTTCTAGGACCTTTGTCACGATTCATAACATAGATTAAAGATGGCAACAAATCATTGACATGCTCACGCATTCCGACACCAATTTTCATAGAAATCTCTCCAATAGCCCAAATAGAATTGTTGCAAACCGATATTTGCTCAGGATCCAAATTTTGTTTCAATATTGGTAGGAAAGAATCTAAAAAAATGGTCAATTAACTTATCACACAACCTGTCAAGTACCACCTGTTTACTTAATAATATTAAAAATTACTTTTTAAACTGTCAATAAAACCCAAAGATAAACAAAATAACTTCATAAAAACTAGCAAGAGGTAGAAAACAAACGTATGTGAGGTTCCAAATGATGATAACAAGCTTTAGCCAAGTCGCCGAGGAGAGCGAAAGAACTCTGTCTGACCTCTGGACTTGGATCCTAGAAGCATCAAAAACTTTTATGTTAACCGAGTCGTAGAATAAATATTTTCTTCTACAAGAATAATTTCTAAAACAATTTATTACCAAGGAGCATTGGTAAATAAGGGCCACAATGTGACTGGATGCTACAAAAGATTCAATGTTTCCTGAAAGACCTTCAGCCAGACCAGAGAGGAGATCTAAAGCCATAATTAGAAAATCTTTATCTGGCAACTCATGCTCTGCAGGGCTCTGAATGGCTAGCTGCGTCTCTTCCAAACATTTTGCGATCAACGAGAGACATCTAAAATTACTATAGATCATAAAAAATTATAAAATACCACTTTCGTTACACGTATTCTGGTAGCAGAAAAAGAAATGGATACAATTTTCAAATCCAGAGTGACATATTATTAACTAAGTACCCAAAGTTGAAGAAAAAACTAAAAAAAAACAAACCTATGAAACACCGGCTCACAATAAGGCAAAAACGACACATTAATAGCAGTTGCGACAGAAGACAGGCACTCCAGCAGGGGAAACATTTCCTTGTCATCGTCTGCTAATACAGACCACTTTTCCATTAAAGGCCGCATCAGCATCTGCAAAAAAAGATTAAATCTATTTTTAAAAGTGATCAACTCAGATCACTGCTCCTCCTCAATCATGAAATGAAAAAACTTCTATTAAACTCTTATTGCGACTACTCTACTGTCACAGCTGAGAAAGTTATAAATTATATTTCTAAGGCATTTTTAGCAAAAAGAATTAATGAAATGTCGGACGAGGAAATTTTAACCTCAACATACTGCGGCTGATTTAAATGCGCACCAACGCTGTCCGCAAGGGTTCCAACAGCATCATACAGAATCAACAGATTTTTGGCCTAAAAAGCTCTTTCGCCGTACTCCACAATTCAAACAAATAAGGACTTAGTGTTCCTAAAAAAACTTACCTGATACCGTTTAAAAGCCTCACAAAGCGCAGTAACAATTTCTGGTAAATATGGCACTAGCTCGATATTTGCTTCTTCTTCAAATGTGGCAAAAGCAGAACAAGCAGCTTCTTGAACCCGCTTGTTTCCATCCAAAACGCGAGCTAATAGCTAAACAACTTGAAATTTTGTGAAGTAAAATAAGGCAGTAAATCATTATCATTAAAAGCGGTGAAGAAAGTGACCAACTCCTCGCCAAATTTTTATGATCAGAAATGTAAAACTAGAACTAAATAATCAAAGATCCAGTTTAAAAAATCACCCACTTCAGATACCAAAGGTCTAAAATATGTGTTCTGGTTTTGCTGCACTACAAAATGGCAATACCGAGAAAGGGTCCAACAAGTAATTGAACGCACTAAGGCCTAAATTATTCAACCACTTAAGACAGAATATAAGTAGATCACATTTTTAATGATTTCATTGCTAAAAATTAATGCAATGCAAAAAAGTTGATAAAGCACTCCCAAAAATCAAAAAAGGTGGCAAAATGTGATTTTTCATCATTCAACCTCATGTAAAATTTGAAACCAACCTTCCTGTCTCGTAAAGAATTGATCAAAAACGGTATTAACTCGGGAAGATGAGGAGTTATACCATTCATGCAACCTTCTGCAACAGCTCCCAAAGCGAGTATACCACTCTCTTTAATCTATAATGTCAAGCATTCAGTGCTACTTCCTGTCAGAGAACAAACAGTAAGGAAAGCCAGTAGCAAAATAACGAACAGAAAAATATGACAGAAAAAAATGAAGTTCACCAGCCAGTCTTCATGGAACAAGGCTTCGTTTAGTATAGGAAGAAGAGTAGGTAAGAAATCGTCTGTAAATATCCCTGATAACACATCTAGAGATGCAGCACTGCATTTTCCTAAATTTAACAGAGTCATAAAGAAAAAAGATACAGATCCAAAATGATTTCAAACAGAAATTAATTAAAACAAAAATTACTAAGATTCCATTCTGTTGACGAATCGTCATCCGGTTCATCGTCATCATAAACATCCTAAAATTACCCTTTTTCCAAAAAGTCTTTGATAATGTTTCTCGAAACATTAGCTCAGGACAGCCCAAAAACAACCAAAATTCACAATAGTGATAGCAAACATAATTCTGTAAAAAATAATGTGTCTCACCACGTCAAGATTTACACCATCGCCCTCAGAATGACGCTGAGTCTGCGTTTTGGCCCGATGAAATCTCGGCCTTATATCTTGCTGACGATCGGGAACAGAACAATCTTCTTCCACCTCACCCTGCAACCAAAACAGTTAAAATACTAAACAAAATCAGATCTAAGATAAAATAAAACCGACTCGCAACATCATGATATCGACTTCGGAATATCTCATACATCTCATTAACACAGGAATAAGACGTGGCAAATGAGGGCCAAGCGCTTCCTTACATATCTGAGGGTTTTCTGCGAGGGCTAACCAAAATTCGCAGGCTTCTAGAGCTGTTGCTTCATTGGAATCCTATAAAGTTAAAATAAAGAAAAAAATAAATCAAGAAACCTAAAAAATAAATTTCATCCTAAAAAATTTAAATAATAGAAAACCAGAGTCGTCATAAACGATTGCGGACAAGAGAATCACCTGAGTCCGAATCAACATAAACTCTACTATATTGCCCAGTTGAGACACCAACTTCTCAAGATGAGAATCTAGCAAGAGTGTTAATGCTCGACAAAGTTGCTTTTGAACTTCCTAAAAACTGCACGGAAATAAAAAGCTGAAAGCTTAGTATGTCAGGAAAAAGTTTAATTTTATTCACTTTCCAAATTATGTATTTAACATGTAACTCACCGTATCTTCATCATTAGCTAATGCGAAAAGTTGTGCGAGGAATACATCCATAACGTTGTTCAGAGGTTCCGTTTGTACCAGTAATATACAATTAACAGCGTTAACTGCTAATGCTCTAAAAAGTAAAAGCGCAAAAAATTAATTTGCTGTAAAAACCAACAAAAACTATAAACATAAGTTTGAAATTAAATATGTCAGGACAATATCCAAATTCACCCAATAATATTCACAGGTAGAGACTCCTAATACTTCTGAATACAAATCTAATATTTCAGATTAATACAAACGTTTTTATCTGCAGAAGTAATGAGGCTCTAAGCAACCAAAAACGAATTCTTGAATGAAAAAGGAAGAAACATGAATGAAAAGTACTAATACTGAATAAATCACCTTAGCTTAGCGTGCGGGGAGTTGAAAAATATCAACAGTTTAGGGATAAGAACATTTAAATGCTGCTGCTGTAATAGCATATCAGCAGAATCTTCACAGATTTTCTGTATTGCACCCATAGCTCCCTAAAAAATTAATGTAGCAATAAAAAGTCTATAACTGTATGTTTTCTCCAATCAAAGAATTTGCATCTACTACAAAAAAATATGCGACAAGAGCTTCAAAACTGAAAGAGAGTCTATAAAACAAGCCAGCTTTCCAAATTATCTTTCCATCGCAGCCGAAAATATACTCAGAAGTCGAGTGAACAGCAAAAAATAACTTTAAAAAAGCTTCTCCAGTAACTATAAAGATCTCTATAGAAAAAGATTGAGATTTACTTCCTGAGTATCGGGATTCATGTCTTCTAAGAGATTACACAACGTTGGGATCAGTGCTGGCCATTGAGCAAAACCACCAAAGATTACTATCGTAGTAATAATTATACCAACAGTAGCACGAATCAAAGGATGTGGGTCAGATATAGCCGATAGAGTTGTATGTTTCACATAGTTTTGTATACCTTCTGGTAACTGAGTCCAAGTTAGCCGAATCGAATTTTTTAAGATCAGCCCCGATACTGAACGGTTGGTAACCTAAACAAGCAATGCTCAATGAAAAGAAAAAGTCCTTGTTTTATTGCTTCAATATTTTTATTGCTGCGACTGAAAGACTAAAGCCATGGTTCTTTAACATCACAAAATTACAGCAAATTAAATA